TACTTAATCCAAACGAATGAGAGACATAATATCACGATAACAAATATAATAACACTAAAATTCATAATTCAACGACATGGAATGACAATAAAACATAATAAAATTAATAAAACAATAAAATATAAGAAATAATAACCTTCAAGGACATGGAAGAACAATGAAATTCATAATATAAATATATTAGAAATAATTTTGATATTACTAATGAAAATATTTACCTGTTCATCATGAAACAGTATATGGAACGCGTTCCAACTCTCCCGTTCGTGATGCGTTTCAATTATTCAGACTGCTTTCAATCGCAAATAAGATTTGTTTGTCCTACTCACGGAATCGAGTGTATCCCAGACCGGCGACATTATATTATTGATGTATTCTAAAATTTATCTATATAATTTTTTTTTTCTCTGAACGCTGTGAATGAAGTGAAGGGATAATCGTGGTAGTGAATATCCTTTTATACAAATTGTTGTTTAGCACGTTGGTACCGAAAAGAGTGATTGATGAAAATTATTTACATGGAAAGATATTGTTAAGATTTTATCATATAAATGATTTATATGGAGCCTTCAAAGAGGAGATTTATATGAAGAATTCAAAAGAGGAGATTTATTCCATAGAATCTGCAATTAATGCTTGTTGTTTTGTTAATAGAGCCATAAAAAATCAGAAATCTTGGCGTGAAAAAATGATTTATTCCATAAACAATTAGTGTTAATCCGAAATAAATAAGAGCAATTTTAAGAAATTATGTGCAATCAATGCTCGTTGTTTTGTTAATGGAGCCACAAAATGATTTGTTCCATAAATAAAAATCGGAAATAATGGCGTAAATGATTTATTCCATAAAAAAATTTATGTTAATCGGAAATAATTAAGAGCAATTTTAGGAAATTATGTTAATTTACTATTTTTAGGCTATAATTAATGAATTTGGCGGGAAATAGTTTCTAAAATTGAATTAAGTTAATCCTTATTATATATTAATAGATTTAATGTTTCTCTCCTAAATTACGATTTACAAATCACTTTCACTGTCTATTCCTCTTTTTTTTTATTATTTAGTCCATCAAAATTTTTAAATAAAAGTTTTATTTTAGCAATTACTTTTATAATATATTTTTTAACTCAACAACTGTGTAGTACACGGACATTGTACTAGTATATTTTCAAACTATAATGTCATACTTTAAAGAACAATTAAAAAATATAATATTTTATAATATAAATAGCAAAAAAAATTATGGGGGTCAATATCACATACTATGAAAAAACTGTGCTTTTACAGTTTTACCCGAAAGAAAATCCTGACTAAAACCATTTATTTTTAATAATAAAAACCTTATATTATTAATTAAATTACTGATCAACCAGTGAAATACAATATAATTTGTCCAAAAGATTTTGAATCAGGTGTCAGAATCGCAAAATTATTACATATATATAAATTTAAATGGATTTAGCAACATGCATATAAATGATTCTAGATAAAATAAAAATATAATTATAATAATAATAATAGCAATAATGTCAATATTAGTCAAACAAGTAACGCCATTTATGGTAGTTTTAGGACTCAAAGAGTTATTATTTTTTCTTCATTTTGATACGCAAAGTGAAGATATATATGCTAATATGGGTGATATATGCTATTCCTCGTGACCATATCACACATCCCAACCACTTTTTGGCTAGCTATAATCCTTTTGTAATTGGAAAACATTTCACAAAACCTATTTTCGAACACTTGTAGTTGAATTAGGACTGCAGACAAATCGAGCAGTTATAACGAGTGCATGAGTCGAAGCTCGATTCGAGTTCGAGTTTGACCGAACTTGATTTGAGCTCTAAAACTTGAAATCGAGGTTAGATTAAGTTTATATTTTATTGCATAGAGTGAATGATTAGTTGTTAGGATATAAGTATAATAATGTAATTAATATATACCCAATATCAAGATAATTCGAGTCGAATTTGAGCTAAATCTTATTCAAATGGAATTTTGTTATTAAAAATTTGAAATGAGCTCTATTAGAATATTTTTCCAACATTCATACATAAGCCGGTTATATTGGGGCCGTGCGATGACATATCCGTTTCCCAGCCTATTTGGGCTTGGGCACCTGACTCCGTATATGAGCTTGTGCTTCTTATTAAGGACCCACAAGTGAGGGGACGTAATAGAATATCACTTGTGAGTTGTTCCACATTATTTATATAGAGAAAATAGGCCTAATTTATAAGTCTACTGGTTACTCAGCCTACCACCAATTTATTTTGGGATGAAGCCTCACTTGGGCTTTATCTGGGCTTTCCCTGCTTATGGTGCGTTCATCTGCGTGAGACCGTATAATTTCTTCCCACATTTCTTACAAACTCGAACAAAATTCAAACTCAACATGCAAGCTAATATCAATTATTTGTATGTTTTTATCTAGGCAATAAGCTTTTGAAATCCCGCTTCAAACTCAACATGCAAGCTAATATCAATTATTTGTATGTTTTTATCTAGGCAATAAGCTTTTGAAATCCCGGCTCGAGCAACAGTGAAAACAATTTAGCGTTGCTCGATAAGACCATTGTTCGAAACTCCCCAAGCAGCTTTATTTTTTTAGCAATGTATGAGTGAATATTTTTGAATTAACAGAAATTTGTTAGAGGGCCTCAAAGTGTTTCCTTTTTAATATAAAAAATAAAAAAAATATTACAATATCAATATTGTTGTGACGTTTTTTATAGTTCACTTTTAATATTTTAAAATAAAATATTTTCGTGCCTGGTTTTAGTACTATTTGTACCAAGTCAAATGTGTGATGTAAATCGTACTATTTGCGTACAGGCATGCATGAATTGTTCTCAACAACATACAACTTTATTTTCGTTTTTTTTTTTTAAAAAAAAAAATAAAATATTTTGGGAATATCTCTTTTTCTATTGTCTATTTTAATTATGCATATTATTCTACAAATTAATATTAGAATTTCATTTACTTATAAGTTATAGTTTATTTGAAATAATTATTGATTCTACTATTGAGTTAGTGCCACTAACATAAGCAATATATATTAGTGATGGCACTAAATATTATTTCTTGAAATTAAATGAAAATATGGCATTTCATAATATAAATGTTAGTTTTTAAACTAGGTAGTAGGGGTGTAAAGTCGAGTTAATAGCATTCAAGCTCGAGCCTTTAACAGAGTCAGTGATCGTGTTCGATTAGTTATCAATAATATTATCGAATAGAGTGCAAGACTTAATGAATAAAAATTATGTAAAAAAATATCTTTTCAAGTCGAGCCAAGTTCCATTCATTTATTAAATTAACCAAGCAAAGATTTTGAGCGGCCCGTTTTATTTAACAGTTTGGTGGTACGACTATTGCCCTAATAAATTCCACAAATTTTTTAACTTTTTTTTTTTACCACATTTCAAATAATGGCTCCTCATTTTTCTCAATCAATTATTACCATTTGCAAAAGCTTTTTGCCTAAAATTAAATCGCACATAAAAGTAGGCTGCAATTGTGTGCGCAAAGTGTTGAAATCAAATGA